TATGTTTTTGTATTATTTTGTATGTGTGGAAACCGCTCTGAGTCCCCTAGGGGAGATAGGGCAGTATATAAATGAAGTTTTATTATATTGTATTGTCGAAGGCTTTCATGGCTGGAATCACTGGGTTCTTGTAGGTTTTTTTGGACTATATGGCCATGTTCTAAAGGCATTTTCTCCTGACGTTTCGCCTGCATCTATGGCAAGCATCTTCAGAGGTAGTGAGGTCTGTTGGAACTAGGGAAAAGGGTTTATATATCTGTGGAATGACCAGGGTGGGGCAAAGGACTCTTGTCTGCTGGAGCTAGGTGTGAATGTTTCAACTGACCACCTTGATTAGCATTTGATGGCCTGGCAGTGCCTGGAGCAATCTTTTGTTGAGAGGTGATTAGATGTCCTTGTTTGTTTCCTCTCTGCTGTTTTGCTGTTGTAATTTTAGAGTTTTTTTAATACTGGTAGCCAAATTTTGTTCATTTTCATGGTTTCCTCTTTTCTGTTGAAATTGTCCACATGCTTGTGGATTTCAATGGCTTCTCCGTGTTGTCTGACATGGTAGTTGTTGGAGTGGTCCAGCATTTCTGTGTTCTCAAATGATATGCAGTGTCCAGGTTGGTTCATCAGGTGCTCTGCTATGGCTGACTTCTCTGGTTGAAGTAGTCTGCAGTGTCTTTCATGTTCCTTGATGTGTGTTTGGGCAACACTGCATTTGGTGGTCCCTATGTAGACTTGTCCACAGTTGCATGGTATATAGTAGACTCCTGCAGAAGCGAGAGGATCCCTCTTGTCCTTTGCTGAACATAGCATTTGTTGGATTTTCTTGGTGGGTCTGTAGATAGTTTGTATGTTGTGTTTCCTGATCCGCTTCCCTATGCAGTCAGTGGTTCCCTTGCAGGAACACTTTTCTCTGGGTGGGTCTTGGCCTTGACCCTCGTGGCTTGTTCTCAGTCTTGCAGCTCTTCTGATGTCTGAGGTGGAGTCTCCATTGGCCTGGAGAGCCCAGTTGAGGTGGTTCAGTTTCTCTTGGAGGAGGTGGGCTTCGCAGATTCTTTTTGCATGGTCTGCCAAGGTTTTAATTGTGCTTCTTTTCTGACTTGGGTGATGGTTGGAGTTTTTATGTAGATATCTATCTCTGTGTGTGGGGTTTCTGTAAACAGTGTGACCCAATTGTTGATCTGGTTTACGGATGACTAGGACATCTAGAAAAGGCAGTCTTCCTTCATTTTCTTTTTCCATTTTCTTTTCTTTTTATTATATTATTATTATTATATGAATCCGCACTGCCAGATAACCTGGAATAAACAGAAAACCTGGGATCAGATCCCGGGTATAGGGCTTGCCTGGAAGGGCCCCTAGAGATAGCAAACTCACCATCTTATCCATCTGTAAATAAGGAGAACATTTTTTTCTGTCCTGTCCTGAGGGCCAGGGAGGGATGGAGTGCCAATTTCAGCTTGAATGTGTGTTTACTGAATGCTCCTTGCAGGCAAATTCATTTACTTCTTCTTTCAAGGCCAACAAGATTATAACAGTGTTTGTAAGGATACAAGTTGTAAAGTAATTTATGTCATTACAGTGTTATAGCAATGGCTATGGTGATAATTCTCACCAATCATCTTGTAGCATATAGTTTCTAATTTTTGTAACTGGAACAAGGGAAAGCCAAAGAGATCTACAGCGATGCAGAAGTGCTGCTGAGCAAACTGCAATGTGTTATGCCAAAGAAAATGGGGCGATTCTGCATTCTTGATAGAAAGAATTAACTTCATGCTGGCAGGTTATATTTTTAAGTGCCAAATTTACTCTCTTTTTAATTGAAAATTAAATGTATGGATTTTATGTATGCATCTATTTCTATACAGCCAGCCCTAAGAGGTGTTCTATTCAGGTAAAAAAATATAGAGAGGTTTTATTATTCAATTTTCTCACTTTTGCAAGACCTGTGCCCCAAACCCTTGTAAACATGGGGGACCCACTGTATTTGCTTTCTTCAATGCTGCCAGGATAATCTGAAATTCAGGTGGCCTTAGGCTGCAGAAAGAGAGAATTGTCTCGCCTAATTGGTTGTTCAGGCATGCAAAACTTTGCTCAAACTGTGCCCAGCCAGTGAAAGGAAAAGGGCTTCTAAGTAGAACTTGGTTAATCTTGTGCATTATCTGTGAGTAAGTGAAAGAGCTGCTCCCTGCAGAGTTGGCACTCCGCGTTAAGAACATGTAGATTCCTATTTTGCTACCCTAGTGTTCAGGCTCCCAAAGCAACACCAGAACTCTCATCACCCTATTAAAACAATGTGTTGTTGAAGGCTTTCATGGCCGGAATCATTGGGTTGCTGTGAGCTTTCAGTGCTGTATGGCCATGTTCCAGAAGTATTCTCTCCTGACGTTTCGCCCACATCTATGGCAGACATCCTCAGAAGTTGTCAAGTCTGTTGGAAACTTGGTTTATATATCTGTGGAATGTCCAGGGTGGGAGAAATAACTTATTTTTTTAGAGTTGCTCTTTATTTATTCTCCTAATTTTACAGTTTTTTTTAATACTGGTAGCCAATTTTTTTTTTCATTTTCATGGTTTTCTCCTTTCTGTTAAATTGTCCACATGCTTGTGAATTTCAGTGGCTTCTCTGTGTAGTCTGACATGGTGGTTGTGAGAGTGGTCCAGCATTTCTGTGTTCTCAAATAAAATGCTGTGTCCAGATTGGTTCTTCAGGTACTCTGCTATGACCGATTTCTCAGGTTGAATTAGTCTGCAGTAAATAAAGAGCAACACTTAAAAAACAGGGCAATTCCAGACAAGAATCAATCAGGGCGAGCCAGCACCTCCCAACAAAGGATCCCCCCAGACAGCAATCAGCCGGGCTTCGAAGCTGCAAGGCCATTCAGTGCTAATCAAGGTGGCCAATTGCAACATTCACACCTGCCCCAAGCAGACAAAAGTTCTTTCTCCTACCCTGGACATTCCACAGATATATAAACCTCCCTTGTCTAGTTTCCCACAGACCTCACAACCTCTGAGGATTCCTGCCATAGATGTGGGTGAAACATCAGGAGACAATGCTTCTGGAACATGGCCAGACAGCCTGGAAAACTCACATCTATTAAAACATCTGGGGGAAAGCATGGGCTCATATCAAGCTGCTGTTTCTCATCAGACTGGGCTCTTGTGGATTTCCATGTCTTCTTTCAGCTGTCTAATTTCTTAAAATTTAACCGAAAAAGCCAGGCCTTCTGTTTGCAAAGCAAGTGAACTTTCATTACACTACGGCCTTTCCTTGAGTTATGAATCAGTCTTCTCACCATCTATGCAAGGCAATCCCTGATATATTTGCAGTTAACAAGAGTGTTTACCGAAAGGGTGAGCCACCGTTTTACCTGGACTTTGCATGAGTGAAGTAGATGGACATGGCCCCAATCCCCTATTTGTGCCCACATCACTCATGTTCCTTACACCTCATCTAGGCATCTCTCCTTTCTCTCCTAATCTTTGTGCTCTGGAAGAAATGGAAGGAATTGTAGCGTTCAATCCAACAGATGTTTGCATCACATGGATTGAATGCTACTAGCTTTATAATTTGGACAATTTTATTTATTTATTTATTTATTTATTTATTTATAGTATATATATTCCGCCCTTCTCACGCTGCAAGGGACTCAGGGCGGATTACAATGTACATATATATGGCAAACATTCAATGCCATAGGCACACAACATATATAGACAGAAACTCAGAGGCTATTTAACATTCCAGCTTCTGGCCACCAGAGGAGCTGTTGCTTCACTGTTGGTTTGTGACACTGATGAAGTACTTTTCTCATTCTTTGCATACTTCCTGGAGATTTTTATGGCCTTGTAAATCAGTTAAATTAGCCTCCCCACTTAAGTGGTACCTAAATTTCCTACTTGACAGATGCAATTGTCTTTCGGGCTGCAAAGGTCGAGAACAAGCTACACAATTTTGGTCTGAAGCTCACTCCGACCCAGGCTGGCGTCGACCTCATGACCTTTTGGTCAGTAGTGATCTTAATGCAGCTGACACCCAGCCCGCTGTGCCACAGTCTTGGTGCACAACATCACAGGCAACAACAGAGTAGAGTCGATGACCTCTGCTTCTGCTTGTACAGTTTGATTGCTAACCTTAAACAGTATTGGTTTCAGATCTGGCTAGCCATCATTTGTAAATGTTTCCCAGAAGGGTGGAGTTTGCTTAGGAGAAAAGTGTGAAGTGTTTGTAGGCAACACACAAGCAGTAAAGTTGATGTTTCCTATGACATAGATGCTAAATATTGAAAATTCCATAACCTATTGGAAATAAGTGCATCATAACCTTGTTGAAAACGTAAAAATGATGTCACATTAGTTTGGCAAATGTGAATCTCCACGAACATGTGGAGACCACCTTTTGAAAAACACTAGTCAAGAAAATCATGACCTTGTTAGAAGTCGGCTCTTTGAACAAGTGATATTCATGAGCATTAATGTAATGGCACACAGGTAACTCAGCTGTTAAACTGAAGAACCATGTCTTTAAACTGCCAAAGATAAAAAAAATTGGATTAGCAGAGGATGGTTGTGTCTTTGAAGTAGAATTTGCAGTTGCCCATCTACTCGCCTTTAAAACCTCTTAGTTAAAATATGCACTCGAGAGAAAAAACAAAGTAGTCTTCTTTAAAAATAACATCTCAGGTTTACTAACAAACTTCTTGTATAAATTCAGCATACTAGCCCATAGTCCAATGTCTTTAAGCATATAGGTATAGTCCAAACTGTATATCTGTATTCACTGAAAAGGAGGCAAACTGTATCCATCTCCATTGAGGTCTAAAAGCATACTGTATAACAAAAATGGAGTCCTGTGTCTGAAGCCCCTCCCACGCCAAAGAGGTACCCTCAAACTGGCAAACCAAAACATACATACAGTATGGGTTAACAATTATACACATTTACAAACAGTCAGTGGAGGCTTAGAAGGTTGTGAATTCCAACACTAAAGCTTTGCATCTGTTTTACAGATGATATAATTAAACTGAACAAGAAAGAAGAGCGGAAGCAGTATTCCCCCAGGATGAAGAGGGGGGTTCAACAGAACGGCACATTCAGGACGAGGAGGACCAAGTGGGGAATCCAGGACTACACAGGTAGGTTGTCCTGTTTCAAACAACACAGGGTTGTGTGACAAGTTATACAGACATGCATCGATCCTCCAAACCTAGTGAAAGTAATGTGGGATCTGTCATGCCTCCACAAGATCTCTCACTGTTTACTTCTGCTCAGCCCCTATTTAGTTAGAGGGAATTTGTATTTTATGTATAGTTTGTGGGGTTAGTCTAGATAGCCTCTCCATCCTTGTGTTTGAAACTTCCTTCGCCCTGTCCCTTTAAGACTCCTTTCAGGGGCAAAGCCTTGGCCAAGAGCCTTCTGGTTTCTTGAGGAGTCAGGCAGTGTAGTATTGGAAGGTGAAGAGTAAGGAAGGTGGAAAAACCACAAAATAGAACTTCGTGTCGAAGCTATGCAAGTTACATCAAATCACAGATGGAAGTTACACAAGTCATAGAAGTTACATCAAAGCTACCTAAAAGTAAAGACACAAAGTAAAGCCACATTGGAGATATAACAGATTGAGATCCAATTGAAACCATATTAAAGTGACATCCAGTCAGGACTGTGGTTGTGTTTCAAGGACATAAATAAATAATAATAATAATAATAATAATAAACCTTTATTTATACCCCGCTACCATCTCCCCAGGGGACTCGGTGCGGCTTACATGAGGGCGAGCTCGCAACACAAAATACAAGCAATAACAACAACAATACATGCAATTAAAATAACTCTCTTCACAAAGACTGGCAGTCAACTTTTGAGAAGAGGAAGTTTGAGATGTGTTATTCAATAAATTCTTGTTTTTACTTCAAATGTGTAGCATTTGATCTGTTCCCTGCATCACAGATACCTTCCAAAGAAATAACTATGCGGGGGCAGAACAAGATCCCGTAAAGGGATAAATAAATTTCTGTTTTATCGTCAGAGGCTTTCGCAGTTGGAATCACAGGGGTGTTGTGTGGTCTGGGCTTCATGGCTGTATTCTAACAGCATTTTCTCCTGATGTTTTGCCACATTTCCTTTCTCCTTTCACGTCTTTCTGTAATAAACCTGTCCTAGATTCTCCCTTCTCTCCTGATGTCTTCTTTCATTGCTTCATGTCTGTCTCAGTCCTGTCCCTTGCCTCATATCCTTATTATTTATTGCTCTCCATTTCAGGGTTTGGCAAGAACCGCTTGGGGCGCAGGAGGCGGCTGGCAGGGAAGAGGCGCCCCTATGCTGTCAAGACCGGACTGGCGGCTAGAAAAGCCTTAGGAGCCCACAAAGGCATCAGCCCTCTCAACAGATCGCCTCTCAGTGAAAAGGTGGAGAAGTCAATCTTCTGATGTGCATTACAAAGCCCTTTCCACCATGCAGGGTGAAGGGGAGACCCTCCTCCGCTTTTGTGTGTGCATTTTCACACAATTCGAGAGCCAGCATGGTTATGGTGGTCCCAGTGTACAACTCTGGGACACCAGAGTTCAAATCCCCACTGAATGGGCAAGTCAGTTTCTGACAGCCTCAAAGGAAGGCAATGACAAACCTCCTCTGAAAAACTCTTGCCAAGAGAACCTTACAATAGGTTTGTTTTAGGATCGCCATAAGTTATAAGTCACTTGATGGCATGCAGTAACTGTATCTCATTTGCTTAGATAGTGCCTTGCATGAACTACAGTTCCAAATGGAACTGATCCAGCCAAGTTGCTCCACTGAGGAAAGGGCCCCTTCTGTGAGCACAGGTTTCTCTTACTTCCTTTATATAACCTTTTAGGAATTTATTTCCACTTCACTCATTTTGCACCCATTTTCTCCCACCAAGGGACTCACCAAGGGCTTGAATAATTTAAATAGGAAGTGACTAAAACATTACATATAAAAGCTTACAAAACCAATTATATCACAATATTGTTAAACTTATACTTTAAAACAGTTAAAATACAATGGCAAAGCTCTTCAGAACAAATTTTGCTAAGGTTTGCCGTAGGGCATTGTTTCTCAATCAGGGGATTGGGACCCCGGGTGGGTCGCGAGGGGGGATGTCAGATGGGTTGCCAAAGAACATCAGAAAACACATATTTCTACATTCTCTCTGGATGTAGGTGAACCACAACTCCAAAACTTAAGATCAATGCCCACCAAACCCTTCCAGTATTTTCTGCTGCTCATGGGAGTTCTGTGTGCTAAGTTTGATTCAGTTCCATCGTTTATGGAGTTCAGAATGGTTTTGAGTGTAGGTTAACTATAAATCCCAGCAAATACAACTCCCAAATGATGAAAACAGTCCTCCCCCAGTCCTCCACCAGTATTCAAATTTGGGTGTATTTGGGTATTTGTGCCAAATTTGGTCCAGTGAATGAAAGTATATCTACATATCATAAACAATTAACAACAGCAGCAAAATTACAGTTGTGAAGTTGCAACAAAAATCATGGGTTGTAGGTTTTTTGGGCTATATGGCCATGTTCTAGGAGCATTCTAAATAAAAATAGAATCTTAGCATCATGTTCTCTGTAAGTATTTTTTTGGTCCTATAACACGAATCTGTGATGCATTTCCATTGGAAGTTGACCATCATATCATACCATAAATATTAGAAAAGTGTAATCTCTGGGCATTGTTTAGCTCCTCCAGTGTGCTTCTGTGGTATACTTCTGTCAGAAGTCATTCCTTTTATTATGATTCACTGCTGTCTGTAGTTTCACGTTTTCATGGCAGGTCCAGGAACATGTCTGCACTGATATGTGGGTCATCCTGTACACCTAAAAAGCCACCAAAATCCTTTGGCTTGTACTTAGCTGCCTAGTTAGTGAAAAGAGACTATATACTTGGCAGAGAAGCAGTTGAAAATGCATTATACCCACACCACTGTGCATTCTGCCACATATCAACACCTGGTGTATGGCAATCTTCCCTTTTACCAGCTGGTCTTCCTTGCATTCAGTGTGAGTTCTGGGATTATTGTGATATTTAGCATGGTATCTGTTAACGCAGTGGTTCTCAACCTGGGGTCCCCAGATGTTTTTGACCTTCAACTCCCAGAAACCCTAACAGCTGGTAAACTGGCTGGGATTTCTGGGAGTTGTAGGCCAAAAACATCTGGGGACCCCAGGTTAAGAACCACTGTGTTTATGTGTTGTGGTTTTCTATGTTGTACCTCTCTGTGTTACCACATTGTTCTGTGGCTTGAATTTATAATCGAAGAAGGGCAAAATTATTTTGAGTAGAGTCTTGTGGCTTCTTTATAGGAAACCAAATCTGGTGGCAGATGCTTTCTTGAATGTTGCTAAATGAAGTTGTTTCTGGTCCACCAAAGCTTCTGCTGCCATAAATCTGTCAGCCTTTAAAGTGCCAGAAAAATGGGTAACAGCAGTGATTTTGCTTGTTTGTTTCAACAGATATCACACCTATCTGGAAATGTGTCTGCTAACTTATAATCTATATTTCTTTTCTTTTTTTAAAAAAGAATATACAGCGAAATTACTCAATTTTAAAAAGGAAGACGACCGTTCAGAGACCGGCGGAGTTACAGAGGAAACAAGGGGCCATTCTCAGGAGGCCTACCTTGTTAAACAGAAGGTGAGGATGGTTGGCAAATGTTGGGCTTTTTAAATGATTTTCATTTCCTTTAAGAGAGTTGTTATGACAGCTATGGGAAAAAAGAGATTTGCATTTTGCATTTAGTAATAAGTTATTTAATAAAGATAAAGCAGTTGGCGTACAAGAGCAAATCTCACTCTCTGGTGTCGTAATGGGTAGCTTTCCCCATCCTTGCTGATTGGGTAAACAGTGCTGAATTTGAACAGGAGAGAGAGAGATGTCAGTTTTAAAAGCAGTCATTACGTGGCCAGAGGTCAAATCAGGTCTTTGATTCCTTCCTGGGTTTTTCGATAAGCACAAGGTGTGCAGAATGGATATTTTTTGTAGGCGTATTCATGCAAACAACTACCCCATCATCTATGGTAGCGTAGTTGTTTGCACAGGAACAATAAAATGTGAGTGGATCTTTTGGCTCATGGTTTGCAGAGAGGCTGGTGACAAGTCAGTCCGGTTTAGTGTGTTTTGCAAAACATGCACCAGTTTAGCATTGTTTTGTTGTGTGTGTTTTAACATGGCAGTGGATCTGGTTCTGCTTCAGCGCCATCTCACTAGTTCTTTCTTTCAGACCCCTTACTTTTAGCCACAATCCCTGTGCAGTCGCACCCACACTGCTGTAAACGTCTCTTTAGCATTAATTTGTCCTAACTTTCTGTCAACTTGGGGGATGCTGAATTGCCTTCCTGTTTGAACAAGAAACCCAACAGAATCAATGTCCACACTGTTGCTTTCATGAAATGGTAATAATTTATTAACTGGTATTGGGTCTGCATTGTCGAGGGCTTTCATGACCAGAATCACTGGATTGTTGTAGTTTTTCGGGCTATATGGCCATGCTCGAGAAGCATTCTCTCCTGACATTTCACTTGCATCTATGGCAGGCATCCTCAGAGGTTGTGAGGTCAGACCTCACAACCTCTGAGGTTGCCTGCCATAGGTGCAGGTGAAACGTCAGGAGAGAATGCTTCTAGAGCATGGCCATACAGCTCTAAAAACCTACAACAACCCACTGGTCTTGGGTCTGTTTCCACCCAGGCACTAACTTGATTTCTCCACAACAAAGTCTATACTTAAAATGTGACGGGTAAATGATTGTTCTTGAAGCTGCTGGTTGTGGATTTTCTCTGAGAAGAAAAATAGATGACAGTTTTCCTTGCTCGCTGTCTCTGGTATAGGGGCTTCTGTGGTGGCCAATGCTCAAGGTGTTAATTAGTTAGTGGTTAACAAATTATTGGTTTAAATTGACTTGAAATGGCTTGTCCAAGCCTGGATCTCATTGGAACCAACTGCAGACACATCTTGCATACAAGATTCCCAGGTGGTAATAGCTCTAATCTAAAATGGCTCCCTTTCCCCAGGCAAAGGGGTGGACGAACTTACTGATACACACCAGGTAGGGTTTTCTTACATTCCACCCTCATAAAATTAAAAGAAAAGTTACTATTCTAAAACTGTGGGTGAGGAAGCTGACAGAATGAACAGTTCCATCAAAATCCCGTTCTCAACTCATTTCGTTTATCTACAATTCAAAAATAGGTGAAAGTGAACATGCATTATCCCCTCTCCCCTTTTTTTGGAATAAAATAATGAGCGTATTAATATCCCATGACAAACGGATGTGCATTGACAGCCTTCGCATCTGACGATGTGCAAGCTATTTTCAGGACTTGTAAACATTACCGTGTGGCCATTCTGACTGAGACGCTCTGGGTTTTGTGAACCAACAAAAAGTAATTGCTTTATTCATGCTGAATGGTTTTCTGAGAGTTGGAACTGCAGTGTTTCCTTAGAAGTGCTGCGACTATGTGCTGTTACAGTAGTAGACATGCCTATAATCCTAGTGTGGCAAGAGTTTTGCATCATGTTGCAAGGTTAACAGGTTAGTGCAGGTACTGTCATTGGGCACCATTCACCTCTCAACTCAACTTGCATTTTGCATCAGGTTGGGCAGTTAGTGTGGGTCCAGGGGCCAATAGTCTATCTCTGAGACCATCCAGGGGCTGTTAGGAATTGTGAGAGTTGCAGTCCAAAACACCTGGAGGGCCAAAGTTTGCCCATGCCTGGTTTAGACAGTACAGAGAGGATGTGCAAAATTGTGTAGACTTCCGCTCTAGCTATAAATGTTTGTTTACCCAGAATACATGTAAGGTGCATTTTTAATCCCAGATCATAGACTTTTTTTACAGTAGCCATCCTAGGGTTGATGTATTTGTTTAGTTCTGTATTGTCTTTCATGTCCTTCTATTTGATAACTAGAAGGACTGGATTTCCTCATATTTAGCAGTCTTTACCTGTGCCTCTTCTTTGGGCTCTCCCACTGGGGGAAAAAAAAAACTAAAATTATAAATTTTGAGGCCAAGAGCCTACCTTTTTTTGGTTAAATTTCTCCTTAACAGGGTAATGTTCTGTGTTGATGACTATCATGTCAATTCTTCATTTGTTTACAGGCCTAATATACAGCCCCCATCTGCCAGGATTGGAAATAAGTTATACCAGCAGAAAGACACACGCCAAGCAACTTTCCTCTTCAGGAGGGGCCTGAAGGTAATGTAGGAGACACAGCGTAATAATAATAATAATAATAATAATAATAATAATTATTATTATTATTATTATTTATTATTTATTATTTCTTACCCAACTCACCTTGTGGTTCAAGGCAGATCACAGCACAGTCAAAACACAGAGTAGAGTCTTCTCTTGTGGTATACAACTAGGTCTATTTGTATGCCGCCCTTCTCACCCCGAAGAGGACTCAGAGTGGAGTTTTCCTCTATTTTATGATAGATATTAAGATTTGTAGTGTTATTAGAAGTTTTAGGTTCATGTCCGTGGATTGTTGTAAATGAGCCTTCAGAATGTAGTCTTGGATATTCATTGTGTGTCTTAAGATGCAACCTAAGGACATCAGAAAGTGGTGATTATACTTTAAAGTTGTCTGTGGATACGGAATTTGCATACACTCAGTTTATGTTTCAACAAAATATTGAATCAGAAAAAAGAAAAGTGGAATGTGCATTATTCCTACCAGGAAGGAAAGAAATCAGTGTGTTGTTTCCCCCCTAAAAAGTCAGATAAGTTGATTTATAAGTTGCCACGGCCTGGGTTATATTTTCGTGAAGTAACACAGCATATGTACTGAAGCGGACGACGTAAAAGCAAAGCCAGGGAGTTAGAAGTCAGGTCTGTCCCATACAGTGTTAGAGGTTGGGAGCATCTGTTTCCCCAGGAAGAGCAGAGACCTTGACTTGGAGTGGCAAGGGTTTTAAAAGAGAGCTTCTTGTTCATCGTGTTAAAGCAAGACTTCTCAAACTTTTCCACTCATGTCCCCTTTTGGCTTGAGAGATGTATATGTGACCCCAGATATATAGGTATATAGAAGAAATATAAAAGTCATTTACTGATAACAAATCAGTAAATGGTCCCCAGGTGTTTTGGCCTACAACTCTCAGAAATCCCAGCCAGTTTACCAGCTATTATAATTTCTGGGAGTTGAAGGCCAAAACATCTGAGGACCCACAGGCTGAGAACCMTTGCTCTACAGCAGGGGTCCCCAAACYTTTTGAACAGAGGGCCAGGTCACAGTCACGCAAACTGTTGGAGGGCCGGATTATATTTTGAAAAAAACATGAATGAATTCCTATGCACTCTGCACATATATTATTTGCAGTGCAAAAAAACCCCCCAAAAAATCAAAAAACAAAAACCCACACTTCTGTATAAATAAAAATGTAATGTTCGTTTGTGGGATTAACAGAACTCAAAAACCACTGGATGGATTGACACCAATTTTGGACACAAGACACCTAACAACCCAATGTATGTCCTTCACTCAAAAAATTGATTTTGTCATTTGGGAGTTGTAGTTGCTGAGATTTATAGTTCACCTACAATCAAAGTGCATTCTGAACCCCACCAACGATGGAATTGAACCAAACTTGGCACACAGTTCTCCCATGACCAACTGAAAATACTGGAAGGGTTTGGTGGGCAGTGTCCTTTCGTTTTGGAGTTGTAGTTCACCTACATTCAGAGATCATTGTGGACTCAAATAATGATGGATCGGGATCAAACTTGGCACAAATACTCAATATGCCCAAATGTGAACACTGGTGGAGTTTGAGGGAAAATAGATTCTTGACATTTGGGAGTTGTAGTTGCTGGGATTTTTAGTTCACCTACAATCAAAGAGCATTCTGAACCCCATCAACGATGGAATTGAACCAAACTTGGCACACAGTTCTCCCATGACCAACAGCATAAATCACTGTGGACTCAAACTTGGCACTGATATTCCATATGCCCAAATGTGAACACTGGTGGAGTTTGGGGGAAATAGAATCCAGAGATTGCTGTGAACTCATACAATGATGGATCTGGACCAAACTTGCCACTGATAATAATAATTATTATTATTATTATTGATGTGCCCAAATGTGTCAAACCTTTTTAGAGCGGCGCTGCGGGGCTTGTTCTCCCAGCGCGGCTAGGAGTGGAGTGGGAGGTGCTTTGTGGCCGCGGAGAGCAGAGCGGCCGGAGCAGAGGGTTCCCGCGATTGGTGGAGCGGCACCAGGTGGGCGTGGCCAGGCCAGGCCATGCTGCGCGGGCCGGAGAAATGCCCTCGGCGGGCTGCATACGGGCCGTAGTTTGGGGACCCCTGCTCTACAGAGTCCACTGTAAACGCTGCACAACAGATTTGTGCGAAGGTCAAAAACAGCCACAAGGTGGCATTCAGAAACCTTTTGCTGTTGCCAATTTTTTAGGACCCTGGCATGGAACTAAGGGGACCCCCATTTGGGGTCCAGACACACAGTTTAATAAGCAGTGTGTTAGCAGGATCCAGTCTTTGCAATGCTCAGTGGCCCTGTGGATAGTGTTTCGGACACATTAACCCAGGCATGGACAAACTTTGGTCCTTTCTCCAAGTGTTTTGGATTTCAACTCCCACAATTCCTAACAGCTTTTCCCTGCACCTAATACCCCCGTGTGGGTTTTGTCCCATTTGCTATTTGTGTATGGCTAAATGTTGTTTCATCTCTCTCTCTCAGGTGCAGGCACAAGTACATCCTGAAGAGGATCTCAATGGCCAGAGCACAAAAAGAACTAATCCGTAGGTTTTTTATTCATTTATTTCGTATTGCATACATAAGTATAAAACTGATAAAAATAGAAGGAACGCAAGCAGCTAAATAATTTTTGACTAAAACCAGGCAACAGTAACCATATTGTCTGTAGCTTTAAACAACTCTTCCTCTGTACACGAAGCAGGACATTGTGGACAAGCATACAGGTGCTCCACAGTCACACAAGATGGAAAGTTTTAAGAAGAATCTCAAAATCTGGCTCTTCCGCTGCGCTTTTGGAGATTAATCCTATAATCTCATATTGCTGTTATTCCTCAACATCTGTCTTTAGTGCATATCCCCTCCTCTTCTGTATGAAGGCTCCTTTCGGCCCCATTCCGGAAGAGTTTCTCCCCCACAAATAACCTGCTCCATTGTTGTCTCATCCCATATTTTTAGCCGTGTTTTTAGCCTTAGTATTTTATTCTGTACATGCGGCCAACTCACAGTTCTATGTTATGAATTATTGTATTGTATTTTTATTTTGTTTGCTGTGTTTTTATATTTTATGTTTTATGTAATTTATCATGCTGTTGTTTGTGTTCTGATTTTATTTCTTGTATTGCGTTGTTAGACTTGGCCTCATGTAAGCCGCCCCGAGTCCCCACTGGGGAGATGGAGCGGGGTATAAATAAATATTGTTATTATTATTATTATTATTATTATTATTATTATTATTATTATTATTATTATTAGCTGCCCAAAGGGTTGCTCTTGCTGTTGTTGGGGAAACGTTAAGAGGAGAGATGGTTCTCATGAAGCTTTCCTTTGATTTGAGTCTACTGGTTCTTATTTTCCCCAACTAGATGGCGAACGTCCACTACAAATGGAGGAATCTTGACTGTATCTATTGACAATCCTGGCGCGGTCCCTTCTCCAATGTGAGTCTAAACCATTTTACCTTCCAAGATCTCAGTTGGTGAAGATAGTGGTGGGAACTGTGCTGCTTGTATCGTTTAGGTCTAACAGCAGTATCGCAACCTTGAATCTGCCTTACTCTCCCTTAATGTTAGTTTGTAAATAGAGCTTTTTTCCCTTCACCATTTTAAGTTTTTTTTGGGTAAAATAAACCTATTTCAGTTGAAGCTGCTTTCGGGTGCCATCATAATGTCTGTCTCTACAGTTCCTTGAAGCCAAGGATAAGCAGTACTCCCATCCCTCCTTTTCTTATGAAGAGGGACCAGTCAGACGAGAAGAAGGTCCCAAAAGGAGTCCCACTGCAGTTTGACATCAACAGCGTTGGGAAACAGGTTAGTTATTGCCTGCATTCAAACTAAAAGCCTATGTGGTGTTGGCACAAACATGCGCTCCATATTGAGCTGCTTCATTCTATCTTAGAGACATGTAAACTTTAGAACTTCTAAATCAGTGTTTCTCAACCTGGGGGTCAGGACCCTTGGGAGGGGGTCGCGAATGAGGTTTCAGAGGGGTCACCAAAGATCTGTTCTAAAGCTGTTGAACTTTTTGAAAATTAAAAAAAAAAAAACAACATTATTATTTATTTATTTAAAACATTGATCTTCCGCCCTTCTCACCCCGAAGGGGACTCAGGGCGGAGCACAGCATATATACGGCAAACATTCAATGCCGGGACACAAATTCTTATATACATATATAAACATTAAAAACATTTATCAAAATATTAAAATACACCATTTAAAACAATCCTAGTCATGTTACAAGAGTGTGGTTGTGTGTGCTTGAGACTGGCTTTTTCAACTCATGGTCATCAACAAGAGACAAGTTGTTATTTCTGATGGTCTTAGGAATCCCTTTGGCAGAGAAGACTTCAGATTTCTCTGCCTGTCCTTCTCTTTCATTTTGGAAACAGACATTGAATCCTCCCACCAAAAGCCCTCTTCCTGCTCTAATTGCAGGTTAACTATAAATCCCAGCAGCTACAACTCTCAAATGTTAAGATCTATTATCCCCAAACGCCACCAATGTTCACATTTGGACATCTTGAGTATTCATGCCAAGTTTGGTCCAGATCCATCATTGTTTGAGTCCACAGTGCTCTCTGGATGTAGGTGAACTACAACTCCATACTCAAGGTCAATGCCAAACTCATCCAGTATTTTCTGTTGGTTATAGGAGTTCTGTGTGCCAATTGTTGGTGGAGTTAAGAATGCTCTTTGATTGTAGATTAACTATAAATCCCAGCAATTACAACTCCCAAATTATAAAATCAATCCACCCTCACCCTCCCAACCTCACCAGTATTCAAATTTGACCGTATCGGGTATTTGTGCCAAATTTGGTCCAGTGAATGAAAATACATCTTGTAAAATATAGCTAGCTGTGCCCGTACCTTGGGAAGTCTGACTTAGCCACGGTAGTCCACGCTCTTGTTACATCTAGGATAGACTACTGCAATGCATTTTACATGGGGTTGCCTTTGAACACTGCTCAGAAGCTTCAAATAGTCCAACAAGAGGCAACCAGGTTAATAACTGGGGCAGCATACAAATCCCGTATTATGCCAGCTCCACTGGCTGCCAGTTTGCTACCGGGCACAATTCAAAGTGCTGACTTTGGCCTATAATGCCCTAAATGGCTCTGGCCCAATTTACCTTTCCAAACACATCTCCTCCTTTGAACTATCAGGGCCTCCCTGGAGGTTTTTTTACAAGAACCTCCAGGGAGGCCCTGCTCTCTGTCCCACCATTGTCACAGGCATGATTGGTGAGGACGAGAGAGAGGGCCTTCTCGGTGATGGTCCCCCGGCTATGGAAATCCCTTCCTGGTGAGATCAGATTGGCCCCCTCCCTCCTGTCCTTCAGAAGGATGGTAAAAACTTGGCTGTGGGACCAAGCTTTTGGGATAGTGCAATAAAGCAGCGATAGGAAACTTTACCAAGCCAATTAGATTTGACGCAGATGACCAGGGCGGTTTTAAATTGTATATTTTAATATTGAGATACATGTTTTTAATATTTATATATGAGTATATGAATTCTTGTCCCAGCATTGAATGTTTATGATATATTCTGTGCTCTGCCGAGAGTCCCCTTTGGGATGAGAAAGGTGGAATATAAATATTTTAAATAGATTTAAATAAATATCAGATACTTACATTAAAATTCATAAAAGTAGCAAAACTGCAGTTATAGAAGTACCAATTAAAATAATTTTATGGTTGGGGGTCACCATGACACGAGGCATTAGGAAGTTTAAGTACCACTGTTCTAAATGGTCTCAACTGCTTGCACATTCCAGATGCTAGATTGTCATTTCAGACTTTTCTTTCGTTCGTTCGTTCGTTACCGCTCTCCCACCACAGCACATTCTTTTTTCTTTTTTTTACCAAGGGAATCTTCCTCCATCACATCTCTTTCCCTTCTTTTTCTTCCAACTTCTCTGTTTTCCCTCTTTTATTCTTCCAAAAGAGGAAGTCTTTCTTTCCCATTCTGGTCAAAACAAACAATTTTCTCTTGATTGGGTTGGTTTCCATTATTTCTCAATTAGGCCGCTCCCTTGGACCATAAAATAGTGTTACTCAAACAGTTTGAAGCTATGCCATCTCCTAAGCCAAGTTCAGCCATATGTTCAACAGCTGCACTTAGGTTATCTGTCTGTATCAGGCATGGGCAAACTTGGGCCCTCCGGGTGTTTTGGACTTCAACTCCCGCGATTCCTAACAGCCGGTAGGCTGTTAGGAATTGTGGGAGTTGAAGTCCAAAACACCCGGAGGGCCCAAGTTTGCTCATGCCTTGTCTATATGTACCCAGATTTGGAGGGAGGTGTGAAAAGAATTGTTTTTTCAAACAGAGACATGCATCCCCCCCTTTTTCACATCAGTTCTCCCACTTTTATTGTACCCGTTAGTTCACTCACCAAATCCAATGGGAGAAGAAAGAAATTGGCTGAGGCTTGTGCTAGGGTCAAATACTATTTTATTTATTTTTAACATATATACCTTGCCCAATATCAAAAGATCAAAAGTTTCTTCTTAGGAAGTCTTCCCCAAAAGAAGACACCAGCAGAATCCATCCACAATTCTCCAGGAGCTATGAAGCCACGTTTTCGTTGGTAGACCATTTCCCAGGGGCTAAACTGCTGCATTTGACCTCCAGAACCCTCCACGGCCTGCACTACTAAATTTCATAGACATAGCAGCAGAAAATACACACACACACACACACACACACATTGCTAGAAAACATGGATGTTGTGGTCTGTTTTTAAGGTGAAGAACAATCCCTGGGAGCCATGAGGACATGCAGTTCATCTTAGGCCTCTTCTATACTGCCATATAAAATCCAGATTATCTGTTTTGAACTGGATTATCTGGCATTGTATTTATTTAATTCATTCATTCATTCATTTACAGTATTTATATTCCGCCCTTCTCACCCCGCAGGGGACTCAGGGCGGATTACAAAGTACATATAAATGGCAAACATTCAATACCATAGACCCACAACAGGTATAGAAAGACAGTCAGAGGCCATTTAAACATTCCAGCTTCATTTATTTATTTATTATATGCTGCCACTCCCCTGGGGCTCGGAGCGGCTTACAAGAACAGGCTAAAATCTAACACAATTGAAAAACAATTGAAAAACAACATGAGGGTATTCTGGCCGCGAGGGGAGCTGTCGCTTCATTGTCCATTTGTGATACTGATGTAGTACTTCCTCATTCTTTGCATGCTTGCTGGAGATTTTTATGGCGCTGCAAATTAGTTAAATTAGCCTCCTTGCATAAGCGGTACCTAAAGTTCCTACTTGACAGATGCAACTGTCTTTCGGGCTGCAAAGGTTGACAGCAAGCTACACAGATGGTCAGAAGCTCACTCCGACCCGGGGTGGCTTTGAACTCATGATCTTTCTGTCAGTAGTGATCTAATGGAGCTGACTCCCAGCCAGCTGCACCACAGTCCCAGTGCCAGTCCAGTTTAAAGCAGATAATGTTCAGTTTGTGCCTAAATATATAAGACTATCCCTTGCTGGTTTAGTCCATTTAGAGCAGGCATGGGCAAACCTGGGCCCTCCAAGTGTTTTGGACTTCAACTCCCACAATTCTTAACAGCCTGCCGCAGTGTTTCTCAACCCTGGGGGAGTCGCGAAGGTGTGTCAGAGGGGTCGCCAAAGACCATCAGAAAACACAGTATTTTCTGTTGGTCATGGAGGTTCTGTGTGGGAACTTTCGCCCAATTCTATCATTGGTGGGGTTCAGAACGCTCCTTGATTGTAGGTGAACTATAAATCCCAGCAAGTACAACTCCCAAATGTCAAAGTCTATTTTCCCCAAACCCCATCAGTTTTCACATTTGGGCATATTGAGTATCCGTGCCAACTTTGGTCCAGATCAGTGGTTCTCAATCTGGGGTCCCCAGATGTTTTTAGCCTTCAACTCCCAGAAATCCTAACATCTGGTAAACTGACTTGGATTTCTGGGAGTTGTAGGCTGAAAACATCTGGGCACCCCAGGTTGAGAACCACTGGTTCAGATCCATCATTGTTTGAGCCCACAGTGCTCTCTGGATGTAGGTGAATTACAACTCCCAAACTCAAGGTCAATGCCCACCAAACCCTTCCAGTATTTTCTGTTGGTCATGGGAGTTCTGTGTGCCAACTTTGGTTCAATTCATTGTTGGTGGGGTTCAGAATGCTCTTTGTTTGCAGCTTAACTGTAAATCCCAGCAACTACAACTCCCAAATGACAAAATCAATCCCCCCAACCCCACCAGTATTCAAATTTGGGCATACCGGGTATTTGTGCCAAATTTGCTCCAGTGAATGAAAGTACATCCTGCAGATCATTATTTACATGGCGATTCGTAATGTTAGGGTTATGGTTGGGGGTCACCACACCATGAGGAACTGTATTAAGGGGTCGCGGCATTAAGAAGGTTGAGAACCACTGGCCTACACGCTGGAGGGCCCATATTTTCCCATGCCCGATGTATATTATAATGATCTTTGTCCCTTTTTAGACTATTTTAATGCTCGAATGTTGTAGTAACTTCCATCCTCCTTTGTTTACAGACCAACATGACCCTCAACGAGCGCTTTGGGATCCTGAAGGAGCAAAGGACAGCCATCTCTCAGAACAAAGGCAGCCGTTTTGTGACTGTGGGGTAGGGGTATCAAAGGGACCCCCATCTTTTGAAGGAAGTGTGGGGCCTATTGGACTTTGCCTCAAGATGTTGATGAATCTAAACTTTTTTGTAAAAGAATTTACTTCACTTTAAATAATTGGGGAGGAAACACAACCCTAAGATGATAGCGGACCATAAAAGCCAGAACATTCAGTACGCATTTTGTCAGGGCGCAAAAACCACAGCATGGAGGGGAAAAGCAAAGATGGTGACTCTTGAGTTCTTAAGCAGCCAGTGGATGTTGAGGCTTCATTGGCCTTTGCCCCATTTGTTGCAAGTGGTGTCATTTTATCGCTGCCAAAAGTTTGACACCGGCCTCTCAGCGACGAACGTTGGCGCCTTCCTGCTGCTCAGTCAAATCTCAGTGCGCCATTTGGCACTGCGCATGCAATCTGCATCCCACCTGCCATCACACTTTTTGGCGTGACCACATTTTTTAGGCACATACTTGAGGAATCAACACATTAGTTCAATGTTTCATCCCCTAGATGACACCAATGTGTGCTGTAGGGTTTTTTCCCCCTCTCTTGGTCAAAACCGACTTGTTTGTTTTCGAACCCGCGAGCGGAAACTCTAGCGATCATTTTGTGTTCCTGGGTGCATTATTTTGTTTGTTACTTCGTTGTGTTGTAGAAACGTGCACTTTTTTTGTGGATCCGATCCTTAGCAGTCACGTCAACAGGCGCAGCGTGTCAATGGGGTCCAGGAGACCTTCCTGTTGTACCAAAGGTGTTGGAAGTGAGGGAGTCAACATACCTGCAAACCCTCAAACCTTTTTTGTGTGCTGGAATCGGAAAGAACCCGGGTTGTTGTAGGTTTTTCGGGCTATATGGCCATGGTCTAGAGGCATTCTCTGCTGACATTTTGCCTGCATCTATGGCAAGCATCCTCAGAGGTAGCGAGGTCTGTTGGAATTGGGAAGATGGGTTTATATATCTGTGGAATGACCAGGGTGGGACAAAGAACTCTTGTCTGCTGGAGCTAGGTGTGAATGTTTCAACTGACCACCTTGATTAGCATACAGTGGCCTGACAGTGCCTGGAGGAAACATTTGTTGAGAGGTGATTAGATGTCCTTGTTTGTTTCCTCTCTTCTGTTGTGCTGTTTGCTCTAGGCATTACCAGGCCATCAAATGCTAATCAAGGTGGTCAGTTGAAACATTCACACCTAGCTCCAGAAGACAAGACTCCTTTGTCCCACCCTGGTCCTTCCACAGATATACAAACCCTTTTTCTTAGTTCCAACAGACCTCACTACCTCTGAGGATGCTTGCCATAGATGCAGGTGAAACGTCAGGAGAGAATGCCTCTAGACCATGGCCATATAGCCCAAAAAATCTACAACAACCCAGTGATTACAGCCATGAAAGCCTTCGACAATACATTGAACATCTCTCCGGAAAGAACTCGGATTATAACTTTCAGGATCCATACAAGGCTTTGACTCAGGGTTGCTTCCCATTCTATCACTAGGCGACAAAATCGGCATGGTTTGCTCAGCGTCAGAAACCTGGTGTGTATGTGACCCAGTATCTGTTCTTTCCCTTTTCTAAACACAATCCTGAATATTTCACGTATCATAAAAGTTCAAGACTGTGGTGCAAGTGAGGCCACCTTTAGAGCAGTTCAAGACAGTCCCCCGCCCTTCACAATTAGTATTCCATTTCTTCTGTTTTTAATTTTTTAAATATTTTCTGCAAATTTGCAATGGGGGAAAAAACCATATTTGGAATATTAAAGGGTCCCTTCCCAATTAGTGTTCCAATTCTTCTGTTTTTAATTTTTTTTAAATATTTTCTGCAAATTTGCAATGGGGGGAAAAAACCATATTTGGAATATTAAAGGGTTTTTTACATTTTGTTAGTAGGAATTCTGTTGAAGAGATCTATTAGAATTGAAGTAGATGGTTATGTTAACGAGCATCCCGCGTTGGGTTTCTACCAGGATGCAGTTTAAGAGAAAGGAGAGAGAAAAAACCCCTTTTGCATCAACATGGATGCAAAACATTGATGCAATGCATCTCGAGAAAGCTAGTTTGTATTTAAGGAGAATATGCTTTATGCTGTACCTTTTGGTATTTTCTTTTTGAGAAGTTAATACATTTGGATCTATTCTAAAGCTGTTGAACTTTTTGAAAATAAAAAACGTTACAAGATTGTGGTTGTGTGTGCTTGAAACTGACTTTTGCAACTCATGGTCATCCACAAGAGACAAGTTGTTATTGTTTATTCGTTCGGTCGCTTCCGACTCTTGGTGACCTCCTGGACCAGCCCACGTGAGAGCTCCCTGTCGGCCGTCACCACCCCCAGCACCTTCAAGGTCAATCCAGTCACTTCAAGGATCCTATCCATTTAAATTCTGCCCAATTATTGTTGTTCATTTGTTCAGTCGTTTCCGACTCCTTGTGGCCTCCTGGACCAGCCCAGGCCAGAGCTCCCTGTCGGCCGTCACCACCCCCAGCTCCTTCAAGGTCAATCCAGTCACTTCAAGGATCCCATCCATCTAAATTCTGCCCAATTGTTGTTGTTCATTCGTTAAGTCGTTTCCGACTCCTTGTGACCTCCTGGACCAGCCCACGCCAGAGCTCCCTGTCGGCTGTCACCACCCCCAGCTCCTTCAAGGTCAATCCAGTCACTTCAAGGATGCCATCCATCCATCTTGCCCTTGGTTGGCCCCTCTTCCTTTTTCCTTCCATTTCCCCATCATAATTGTCTTCTCTAAGCTTTCCTTTCTTCTCATGATGTGGCCAAAGGACTTCAACTTTGTCTCTCGTCTCCTTCCCTCCAATGAGCAGCCGGGCTTTATTTCCTGGAGGATGGACTGGTTGGATCTTCTCGTTGTCCAAGGCACTCTCAGAACTTTCCTCTAGCACCACAGCTCAAAAGCGTCTCTCTTCCTTCGCTCAGCCTTCCCTAAGGTCCAGCTCTCACTTCCGTAGGTGACTACGGGGAATACCATTGCTTTAACTATGCGGATCTTCATTGCCAGTGTGATGTCTCTACTCTTCACTATTTTATTGAGATTGGTCATTGCTCTCCTCCCAAGAAGGAAAGGTCTTCTGATTTCCTGGCCGCAGTCTGCGTCTTCAGTAATTTTTGCACCTAAAAGTGCAAAGTCTGTCCCTGCCTCCACATTTTCTTGCTCTATTTCCCAGTTGTCAATCATTCTTGTTGCCATAATCTTGGTTTTTTTGATGCAGACTACTTCAGCCAGAGAAGTCAGCCATAGCAGAGCACCTGATGAACCAACCTGGACACAGCATATTATTTGAGAACACAGAAATGCTGGACCACTCGAACAACCACCATGTCAGACTACACAGAGAAGCCATTGGAATCCACAAGCATGTGGACAATTTCAACAGAAAGGAGGAAACCATGAAAATGAACAAAATCTGGCTACCAGTATTAACAAACATACCTCAACTAACCAGGACATCTAATCACCTCTCAACAAAAGATTGCCCCAGGCACTGCCAGGCCATCAAATGCTAATTAAGGTGGTCAGTTGAAACATGCACACCTAGCTCCTGCAGGGAAGAGTTCTTTGTCCCACCCTCGTCTTTCTGTTGTGCTGTTGTAATTTTAATTTAAATTAGTTATTTTATTTATTTATCGTGTCATCCGCAACCAGAACATTGTATTATATTTGTAACAGAACAAAACAAACAGACAGATAAAAAACAAAAACAAAAAACACAAATTTTGCAAACTTGGTAGTTGATTAAATGTCCTTTGACCAGTATCTGGCCATTTGGAGTGCCTCTGGTGTTACTATAAGAAGGTCCTCCCTTGTGCATGTGGCAGGGCTCAGGGTGCATTGCAGGTGGTCAGTGGTTTGCTCTTCTCCACACTCGCATGTCATGGATTCCACTTTGTGGCCCCATTTCTTAAGGTTGGCTCTGCATCTCGTGGTGCCAGAACGCAGTCTGTTCAGCGCCTTCCAAGTTGCCCAGTCTTCTGTGTGCCCAGGGGGGAGTCTCTCATTTGGTATCAGCCATTGATGAGGTTCTGGGTTTGAGCCTGCCACTTTTGGACTCTCGCTTGCTGAGGTGTTCCAGCAAGTGTCTCTGTAGATCTAAGAAAACTATTTCTTGATTTAAATTAGTTTAAACATTTTAAACTAATACTTTATATTTGTTAAAATTCTTCTTCATTTTAATTATTGTATTGTTTTTAAATGTTTTTTGCACTACAAATAAGATATGTGCAGTGTGCATAGGAATTCATTCATTTTTTTTTCAAATTATAATCTAGCCCTCCAACAGTTTGAGGGACTGTGACCTGGCCCTCTGTTTAAAAAGTTTGAGGACCCCTGATCTAGTATATACACCAGGGGTCCTCAAACTAAGGCCCGGGGGCCGGATGCGGTCCTCCAAGGTCATTTACCCGGCCCTCTCTCTGGGTCGACCTAAGTATGTAACTACTTGAAAGCACACAATAACAACAACAATCCTATCCCATCAGCCAAAAGCAGGCCCACACTTTTTATTTATTTACCTTACTTATATACCGCTGTTCTCAGCCCGAAGGCGACTCACAGCGGTTCACAACAAATACGAACAGCAAAAATTCAGTGCTACAGTATAAAAACAGTTCAACAACCTAACACATTACACAATTAATAAACAGTTACTACAATACCCATTCACTGTCGTCTCGTCATCAAAAACATGTTCCAGATTCGTCATCCATTGTTCCATTCCAGTGTTCATTAACCAATCATTGCACTAATTATTCGAATGCCTGCTCAAACAGCCAGGTCTTCACTTTTTTGCGGAATACCATTAGAGATGGTGCTAGTCTAATGTCCGTAGGAAGGGCATTCCACATCCGAGGAGCCACCACCGAGAAGGCCCTATCTCTCATCCCCGCCAGCCGTGCTTGAGAAGCAGGCGGGATCGAGAGCAGGGCCTCCCCGGAAGATCTCAAAGTCCTGGTGGGTTCATAGGCAGAGATGCGGTCAGATAGGTAGCTTGGGCCTGAACCGTTTAGGGCTTTAAAGGCCAACGCCAGCACTTTGAATTCAGCCCGGTAGCAGATCGGTAGCCAGTGGAGTTGGCGCAACAGGGGGGTTGTATGCTCCCTGCGCTCCGCTCCTGTTAAAATCATGGCTGCCGAGCGTTGGACTAGTTGGAGCTTCTGAGCTGTCTTCAAAGGCAACCCCACGTAGAGAGCGTTGCAGTAGTCTAAACGGGATGTAACCAGAGCGTGGACTACCGTGGCCAAGTCAGACTTCCCAAGGTACGGGCGCAGCTGGCGCACAAGCTTTAGCTGTGCGAATGCTCCCCTGGTCACCGCCGAAACCTGGGGTTCCAGGCTCAGCGATGAGTCCAGGATCACACCCAAGCTGCGAACCTGCGTCTTCAGGGGGAGTGTGACCCCATCCAGCACAGGCTGTAACCCTATGCCCTGTTCGGCCTTGCGACTGACCAGGAGTACACTGACTGACCAGGAGTACACTTCCCACTGAAATACTAATAAGTTTATATTTGTTAAAATTGTTCTTGATTTTAATTATTGTATTGTTTTTAAGTTGGTTTTTTGCACTACAATAAAGGTATGTGAAGTGTGCATAGGAATTCATTCATGTATTTTTTTCAAATTATAATCTAGCCCTCCAACAGTTTGAGGGACTGTGACCTGGCCCTCTTTTTAAAAAGTTTGAGGACCCCTGATCTAGTATATACACAGACTGCAGAAAGAAGAAAGAAGTGTAGAAAACTTTTTCCCTGAGTTGCCTGCTTTGCGCAGGCGCGTTCCCTCCGTTGAGGCGCAGGAGGCACACTTCCGCCCTACTTTCTCCACGCAGGCGCAGTCCGGTCCCGCACGCTCCGGGCGGAGCATGCGCAGAGCGTGGGGGGAGCTCCCTGAGGGAAAGAAGAAGGGGCGGCGAAGAGGGAGGGGAAATGGCGGCGGCGGCGGCGCTGCTGTCTGAGGGAAGCGGAGGAGGAGGAGGAAACGGCGGTGGCGGTTCTTCGGGGCCGATGTCGGGCCACAACGGGTGCCCGGCGCCCGCTCCCGCGGCTTCCTCGTCGTCGCCTTCGTCGTGGACGCGGTCCCTGGAGCGTGCGCTGGAGGAAGCGGCGAGCAGCGGGGCGCTGGGCCTGAGCGGGAGGAAGCTGCGCGAGTTCCCCCGGGCCAGCGCCGCCCCGCACGACCTCGCAGACACCACACAGGCCGGTGAGGAGCAGCAGCACCCCACGAGACAGCCCCCCCCCCCCAGTACTATTATGATTATGTTGGCTGTTAGTCTCTCTTTCTGTGACTGAGGGGGGAAATAATTATATATATATATATATATATATATATATATATATGAAATATCCATTATTATTATTATTATTATTATTTATGGTTGTTGCTATTCTCTCTTTCTGTAACTGTGGGCTGTTAGTCTCTCTTTCTGTGACTGAGGGGGGAAATAATAATAATATATATATATATATGAAATATCCATTATTATTATTATTATTATTATTATTTATGTTTGTTGCTATTCTCTCTTTCTGTAACTGTGGGAAATAATAATAATAATAATAATAATAATAATGGATATATATATATATCCATTATTATTATTATTATTATTATTATTATGGTGGTTGTTGTTCTCTCTTTCTGTAATTGTGGGAAATATTATTATTATTATTTATTATGGTTGTTGTTATTCTCTCTTTCTGTAATTGTGGGGGGAAATAATAATAACAACAACAATAATGGATATCTCTCTTTCTGTAATTGTGGGGGGAAATAATAATAACAACAATAATAATGGATATCTCTCTTTCTGTAACTTCATATATATATCCATTATCATTATTATTATTTATTATAGTTGTTATTCTCTCTTTCTGTAATTGTGGGAAATAATTATTTATATATATATATATATATATATATATCCATTATCATTATTATTATTATTATTATTATTATTATTATGGTTGTTAGTCTCTCTTTCTGTAACTGTGGGAAATAATAATAATAATGGAGATATATATATATATATATATATATATATATCCATTATTATTATTATTATTATGGTTGTTAGTCTCTCTGTAAATGTGGGAAATAATAATATTAATGGAGATATATATATATATATATATATCCATTATTATTATTATTGTGGTTGTTGTTAGTCTCTCTTTCTGTAACTGTGGGAAATAATAATAATAATAATAAGAATGGAGATATATATATATATATATATATCCATTATTATTATTTATTATGGTTGTTGTTAGTCTCTCTTTCTGTAACTGTGGGAAATAATAATAATAATAATAATGGATATATATATATATATATATATATCCATTATTATTATTATTATTATTATGGTTGTTAGTCTCTCTTTCTGTAAATGTGGGAAATAATAATATTAATGGATATATATATATATATATATATATCCATTATTATTATTATTGTTGTTGTTAGTCTCTCTTTCTGTAACTGTGGGAAATAATAATAATAATAAGAAGAATGGAGATATATATATATCCATTATTATTATTATTATTTATTATGGTTGTTGTTAGTCTCTCTTTCTGTAACTGTGGGAAATAATAATAATAATAATAATGGATATATATATATATATATATCCATTATTATTATTATTATTATTATGGTTGTTAGTCTCTCTTTCTGTAACTGTGGGAAATAATAATATTAATGGATATATATATATATATATGCATTATTATTATTATTTATTATGGTTGTTGTTAGTCTCTCTTTCTGTAACTGTGGGAAATAATAATAATAATAATGATATATATATATATATCTACCCATTATTATTATTTATTATGGTTGTTGTTGTTCTCTCTTTCTGTAACTGTGGGAAATAATAATAATAATAATAATGGATATACCCATTATTATTATTATTATTATTATTATTATTTATGGTTGTTCTTATTCTCTCTTTCTGTAACTGTGGGAAATAATAATAATAGTAATAATGGATATAAATATATATATACACATATATATCCATTATTATTATTATTATTATTATTTATACACAACAACAATATCTATATATCTCATCTCATGAGATAAATGTGTGAGAAAAGCGGTATAGAAATACTGTAAATAAATAATAAAATATGATGATATTTCCCACATTTGTCTCTTGAATATATATATATATCCCACATTAATATGGGAAGTGTGTGTGTGTGTGTGTAGATATATATATTCATGAGATAAATGTGGGATATTATTTGCCACATTTATCTCTTGAATTATTTATACACAACAATTTTATATTATTATTGTTGTTGTTATTCTCTCTCCCTGTAAATGTGGGAAATGATGATAATAATAATAATAATGTGTGTGTGTGTGTGTGTGTGTGTATATATATATATATATTTCATGAGGTAAACGTGGGATATTATTGTTATTATTTTCCGCATTTATCTCTTGTATATATATATATAATCCCATATTATTATTGTTGTTGTTATTCTCTCTCTCTTTCTGTAAATGTGGGAAATAATAATAATAATAATAATAATAATAATAATAATGGATATATATATATTTCATGAGGTAAATGTGGGATATAATGATGATATTTCCCAGATTTATCTCTTGAATCGATATATGCACACACACACTGCACTTATTCTTATTACTTCCCACATTTATCTCTTGATGTGGGAAGTAATAATAATAATACTATATGATGTGTGTATGTACCCAATACCCTCAATATATTGGAAAACTATGTCACCCAGGCTGGTGAGCACCACTGGGAATGTGTGTGTTGTTATAACCTGCTTTCGTCACGCGATAAAGCACATCTGCACTCCCTTCCCCCAGTACATTGGGGAATCCTCAAGTATTCATCCTCCCAAACATATTACTATTGATATTATTTCCCTCATTTATCTCTTGATATATATATATATATATATATATATATATATATATATATAGTTGTTATTTCTGACATTTATCTCATGTGTGTGTATTGCTGTTGTTATATTATTTCCCACATTTATCTCTTGAATATCTATCACCCAAACATACAATTGTTATTATTTCCCACATTTATCTCTTAAATATATATATATATATATAGAGAGAGAGAGAGAGAGAGAGAGATACACACCCCTTACCTCTCAAACATTATTATTCTTGACATTTCACACACACACCTCTCTTATTCCTATTACTTCCCACATTTATCTCTTGATGTGGGAAGTAACAATATACATGATGTGTATATGTACCCAATACCCTCAATATACTGGAAAACTATAACAGCCAGGCTGGTGAGCACTACTGGGTGTGTGTGTGTGTGTTATTATAACCTGCTTTCCTCACGCGATAAAGCACATATGTGCACCCTTCCACCCGTCCATTGGTGACCCCCAAGTATTCTTATTATATAGATAGATAGTGTGTTTGTGTGTGTTTTTTGTGTGTATATAGATTGTTATTTCCCACATTTATCTCTTAAATATATATTGATATATATAGAGAGAGATACACACCCCTTACCTCCCAAACATATTATTATTATTCTTGACATTTATCTCTTGAATATATATATATATATATATACACACACACACACATATCTTCCAAACAAAATAACAATAATTATTGTTGCTATTTCTCACATTTATCTCTTGAATATATATATATATATATATATATATATATATATATCTCCCAAACATATTATTATTATTATTATTTCCCACATTTAACTCTTGAATATATTATAACAACAATAAAAATTGAGTTTTATCCTGCCCTATCTCCCAAAAGAGGCTCAGAGAAGTTTACAACAAAAATTGCCAAACATTCAATACCAAAGAAAAACAACATCAAATCAGATATATAGACATATATCACCCATATATATTTACACACACACATACATATCCCCCAAACATATTATTATTATGATTTCCCACATTTAGCTCTTGAATAAATATATGGAAGGATGGGGTACAAATACACTGAAAAAGCATTTTTTGAAAGGTTGGTGTGTTATGGGCTAATGCTACAATGGATTCACTCTACAGTTAGAACAGGCTGATTCTTTCCAAGTATTGTATGGGTATAAAATCCTGAAAGCAATGCACCTGCTTCCTAAACCAATGTAGAGCAGAGAGGTGGACAAAGTGTTGTCCTTCAGATCTGGCTGGACTATGACTCCCAGTTTCATACGCGGTCACCTGTCCTGATGAGAACTTGAATCCAACCGTATCTGGAGGACCCACACATTGCCCAGCCCTGTTTTAGGGTTTTTTTTTTCCTCTTCCTTTTGAATAAATACAACCTTAAGTTGGATGAAGGTGCAAAAAAGGGAGGGAGCAAATGGTGAGTGGTTACTTGTGTTTAAGCTGAATTTCAAATTGCATGAGGTAGCAATCCTGAAAACCTGGAAGACTTCTGTAGACCATCAGCCAGATACCACTCATAAGTGTGGTTTCTGTGGCCAAAAGGCTAATGGAGTTCTAGACTGCATCCACAGAAATGCAGTATTCCAAGCAAGGGAAGTAACAGTAATACTTCACCTGGATTACATTGCCCATTTCTGATCACTGCGGTTCAAGTGGGAATTCCTGGAAAAATGTGACCAAAATGATAAGAGGACCTAAGCCCTTGTTATAATACCCCTTCTTTTGATATCTAAAGAGTGGTTATGTGGAAAATGGAGGGCCCTTGTTTTCTGCAGTTCCAGGGATTCAAATAGCAAGAAAAGAAATTCCAGCCAAGCACTAGAAAGAGCTCTTTGATGCTTTGTTAGTCAGTGGGCTGCATGCAAAAAGTCTGGTCGTTTGGAGAGTGGGGTCTGTTTATGAATAAATGTGGGTAGTTTTCGTTGGATGTAGACAAATTTAGCAGAACTCTTAAAGTCTGTAGTAGTCCATCCTTATGTAAGTTGCAAACCTTATAAGCTTTATGTGAGTATATTGGCAAAGTATGTTTCTGTGATAAAAAGAGCAAAATGAAAAAGGACTTGCAAAAGTTGAATGAATTGTGGGAAATGTTTGAGTCGCTTTGTGTAATACTACTCAAATATTTATAAACTCTTCTCACCTGCCTTGTGGAAAGATATTCATCAGAGAGTAGACAGTAATGGTTATACATTACATGGTGTCATCTGTTGACTTGTCTTCATGTACACACAGAGAGAG